ACAGTGCTTTTGTAACACTGTGCATCTTACATCACAATCAATGAAGCAATATTGATAAATGATTGTTGATTAAAGTTCACACTTTATTAAAGTTTCCTTACCTTTTAATCTAATATCCTGTTTCTTTTGCAGGAATCCATCTAAGGTAAGAAAATGTATTTAATTGCCACACTCACTAAGCTGCCCTTAGATGTGACAATTTCTTTTTATGTGTGATGACTATGACAGTGATGAGAAATACTCATCAGTATTTTATAGATTATTTCCAAATTAGGATGTTTTTGCTATTTTCCTCATGACTAAAGAGAACAATACATGTCTGAGAAGACTCCTAAGAGATATCATTCTTAAAATATCATATCAAAGGCACTATCAATATGACTCATCAGTGTTAATAGGAGCCTTGATATCCAGAGGAGGTATATTTGTTAAATTTCCCTATCTCTAAGATTATGATTTTTTGCTGGTTTTCATATTCTTGGGGAGAATAAGCTTCTATGAGAGGCTCACTTTTGCGAGTGGAGAATTATGGTTTTGAATTACAAACTTATTTGTAACTTCTCTTGTTTATGATTTTCTATCTGAGTTGACCCATAGATATTTTCCTTATACATTAGGTTGCAATCCAACACTATCTGTTCTGTGTTTTGCTCAAGCTGTTCCAGATTTGTTAATGAGGAACTCTTGCAGCTACTTCCTGGATTCAGTTTATATGCTGGGTCATTGTGACTATAGCTTTGCTTTAGCCAATAGATTTTAAACATAGTAATACCTTGGTTCACAAATGCTTTTATTCTCAAAAAATCCTGTTCACAAACAGGAACATTAGGGAAAATTCTATTTCTGTACCCAAACTCCACATTGGGAGAGAAACATGATCACTGCCATTTCCCCACATGCACATGAACACGGCACTCTTCCCTAGAATCATGCAATGGATTAAGTTTGTGGACTGAGGTACTACTGCACATCTGCTATTGTAAGAATCTTGATGTTTTATGTGAAGTGAAGAGATATATAATTTGCATATTGAAATATTTTTATTAACTAGTTTACAGTGTATTCAGTGATCTCAATGTCAACACATGATGAGCTAAATGAACATGTACTTTTCTTCCTTTAGAGTTGCTGCTTAGATCTTTGAGTCTACCTTTTGTGGCTGATTTCATGATTTTTTTCGTTATATATATTTGTTCCTCTAGATTTTCCCTGAGAGACTCCACTGAAAGTATACTCCTAAATACTACCATAGTTGTACTCAACATAGCTATCAACTTTGTTTTATGGTCTTCCCTTTCTCATTTATATGATCTCCTGTTTTACAGTAGTTTTCTTCTTAGCTTTTCTTTCCATATTATTTACACCCTACTTACAAACATCCCAGTGATTTGTACATTGGATGAGAAAAATTACATAGTTTTCTTTTCTGTCTTGGTCTTTTTGAGACAGGGTCTCACTGTGCAGGTCAGGCTGGCCTTGAGCTCACTTTGTAGCCAAGGCTGGCCTTGAACTCACAATGATCCTCCTGCCTCAGTCTCCCGAGTGCTGGGATTACAGTTGTATGCCACCACACCCAGCCACTACATAGGTTTTATAAAGAAAGTAAACTTTTGTTTAGTTTTACATCAGAAAAGAGATCTTAGTTTATTTTTTCAATATTGCTCTGCACACTGACCACTTAAAAATCACTAGTTCCTGTTTAAAGATTCAACTCTGACATTACTTTAATAATAATTTAGTAATATATAGAAAATATTGCTTGTGAGGGTTTGAATAGTCTTACCTGAAGGCAGGTTGTTCCTTAGTATGCCACATTGGGCTAATGTCCTCATTAGACAAACATGTAGCTATTTACATCTAAAGCTATCCTTTATCTTCTTTATCATTTCAATTTATGAATTCTTTAAATCTATAAAAACTTTAAATCTGGGTAAAACACATAATTCTCCCAAGTAATACCAAGATATGCAATGCTGACTTTTATAAATAATCTTTTCTTTTTCTGACGACTGATACAAAAGAGTTCTTTGAAATATAAAAACATCGTTCCTGAATTTGATGTGGGAAACTCATGAATTTTAGATATTTTAGGTGTATCACTCATTTAATATTTTAAACAAATACAGATCTCCTCAAAATAGATATTTTAAGTTCTGGGAAAGTAGAAAAAGAAACACCGTGTCCCCTACATTTGTATATAACACTTAACTATCATCCAGTACAATTTAGGGGTCACCAAATGACTGCAGGCTTTAAGTCTGATGAAAGGGACACCTTGAAGATGTATTCATCCCAGACAAAAACTTCTTTTGTTCATGTGGTAATGTTGACATAGAAAACAGTCTATAAGAAAAGTACGTAAGTAATCCAGCATCCTATGGAATTGAGTAAAGTCAAGGAATACGGCTCACATACAAAAAATCTAAACATAGCCCCTGCATCTGGGTTTGTTCTATAGACTGTTTGTCCTGATATTTCTAAGTGAAAAGTGCTAGATATTAGAGAGGAGTCACATTTTTAGCATGATGTTAAATGTAGTTAGTAATATCATTTGAAAACATTTAATAATGAGGAATAGACAGGTAGATAGATAGATAGATAGACAGATAGATAGGTAGACAGATAGATAGATACTTTGGTAAGATTTTAAAGCTTTCTTTTGCTCTAAAGACATCTCCTGTCATAGGGAAACCATGAACACCCTGGCTAGAGACATGGCCAAAAGAAGATGTTCTTTGTCTTATTATTATTCACCCTTGATGCTATTACCCAATGGAATTAGTTAAATAGATATTTGAAATATGGGCACTATTGGTAACAGAATTAGGAACAATATTTCTAAAAATCACAAGCCATAGGAATATTTATATTGACATATAGTAGCTGATTGTAAAGATAGTGTACAAGCATCTGCAGCCATACCACCCTGAATGCGCCCAATCTCTTCTAAGATAGTGTGCATGCTTTAATAACATTTGTATGTAGAACCTCCTTAAATTAGACGTAAAAAAGAAAATACTTCATTTTTAGAGTAGCAAGGACAAATTAAATACTAAGTACTCAGTTTATTTCGTGCTATTATAACAAAATATCTGACATGGTAACATATAAAGAACAGGAATGCATTGTCTCATAATTCTGGAGGCTGGGAAGTCTAATGTCTAGGCTTTAGATTTTATCACCTAATGTAGGCTCTCCTGGGGCGCTTCTTCCATGGCACAAGAAGAGCTGCCACAAGAGAAGTCTAGCTGAGTGCTGGGTGGAGCCTCTTGGGTAAGGGTCTTGCAATGGTTAAGACTAATTGCATCAACTAGATTGGCTCAGAAGCCACTGAGGAGATGGGTGAAGCATACTTCTAGGTGAGTCTGGGTGGGTCAAGGAGGTGTGCCCTTAGTATGCTCCCTAGCCCCTTACTTTTTGGGGTGTCCTCTTATTCTTCTTCCAAAGTACCATGAACTAAGCAGCTTTGCTCAGCCCTACCCTTCTGTGTTGTTTCTGCCTTGGAGCCAGTCAATAATGTTCTGAATTATAAATGTCTTCCTTTGTGTTACAGGTGTTGGTGTTGTGTCCTAGTAATAGGAAAGTTGATCAATACAGAAAAAATCAGTACAAGAGGTGGAGTTGTTGCTGTGACTGTACTTGAACATGTGGTTTAGAAGCCCTTAGGACTGGTTTTCAGGAGGAGGTTTTCTTAGGACCAACCAAAGAGTGACCTGTCTCAATGATAACTATGCCTGACACTTGACTCTCAACTGGGTAATACAAAAGCCTGAGCTTTGTGCATCTCTCCCGGCATCGCTTCCTGGCTTCCTGAACGTGGTAGTGTCAGAATAATAAGACTTCCTACTTAATGACTCAAGACTCCGAAAAGCACATTTCCTGAGGTAGGATGCCAGGTAGAATCCATATTACTGTTAAGCACCTGTATAATTTGCACAGTGTCAGCTCTATCTTATTTTGATAGTTTAGGCAGTTAATAGAAGTCTGCTTAGGTGGCAGAGGTAGAATATAGACCCTTGTTCTTGATGGAATAGTATCAAGGTCTCATTTTAAGGAAATTTGCAGCTAATTTTGGAAAATATAATCTAATCAAAAGATTATTTCAAATGGAAAAAATAAAATTACCCAATAAATATTTTGCAAGGCCTGTTGAGATATCCAGATCCATATTTAACATTAATATTGCCAGGATTTTCCAGAGTATAGAATATGCAAAGATAAAATCATATGACCACATATCACTGCAGGAAAATATCAGCAACTCTTTTTTCAACATCAAGTCTTACTCAAACTCAAAGTTATGTTTAAAAGCCTCTATGAATATGGAGAGCAAAATAAATTCTTTTTCATAGTTTTGAAGTAAAAGAAGCAATAAATTAAAAGAATAATGGTAAAGTTCCAAGAAATGTTTGTAATTCCCAGCATGAACAAAGTCCTAGTGCCCTTAACTGTCTCAAGTTAATAAGATCAAAACTAACAATCAATTGGGAGAAAATGAGAGAAAAAACAAAAGAGTATCAGTGAAAAGAGCATTTATACGCATAGAAACCTATGAAATCATACACATAAAAAGAAAATTAAAGCTATGCTGAGTACCCTAGTTGACCTATAAAACTGATATAATTTAAAAATTTATTAGTACATAGTGCTGGTGAGGCCTAGGAGGATACATAAATTTCTTGCTCTTAAAAAATTAATTTCTAGGGAGGGCCATTGACCAATTTATTTCAGAATTGCAATTGACCCTAACCTTTTGCCTTACGGAATGCATTTGTGCAAGACAGAATTCTAAGATCTCCAATTACCCAAGTCTTTCTATGATCCATATTCTTTGAGTACAGATGGGACTTATAACTTGCTTCTTAACCAATAAAATATGGGGAAATGATGTGCTATAACTTTAATAATTATACTAATTTTTAAGTCAAAGGTAAAGAGATGTTGCAGATATAATTAAGATCTTTAATAAATCCACTTTAAATTAATCAAAGGTGCCGTTATCCTGGATGAGAGTGATCTAATCAAAGCACTTTAAAAGAGGAGAAGTAAATTCTAGAAGGCATCAGAAACTCTCTCCTGCTGGTCTAAAATAAACAACACACCATGAGTACTATGGCTACGAGGGAATGAATTCTGCCAACAACCTGTGTGAGTTTGGAAGAGGACTCTGAGCTCTGCATGACTGCAGCTTTGTGAGGAGGAGACTCAGATAGATCATGCTGGATTCCTGTTGCACAGAAATTATGCGATAATATATGTTGCATTTTGTGCCTCCAAATTGGTGAATGTGACAGTGGAAGAGCAGTATGGGCTTTCTTTCAGATATATGCATAGATGAATCTATATCTATATCTATCTATCTGTCTATATATATAATCACTGAAGGTTACAAATAAATTGAATGGTCATCAATAGGATGCCAGGATGATATCTCAGGACAGTGAGACACTATCACTTTTGGAGTCAGTTGGGAGGCTTTGCTTAGGATGTGGAGTATAATGAGCCTTGTCAATGGTGACAGTCTGTTATTTGTTTCCAGAATGTGTGCTTCTAAATTACATAATGTTTGCAGGGCATTGATAGAACTATTGGCAACATTATTTGATAGCATTAGTGAATTTCCAGTGCCAGAATTTGAGGGATCTCACAGTTGCCTATCTATATAGTACCTTTAGCCACTGATTTCCTGACATCCCTCTTATTGGCAGCATGGCCCTGACCATATTTTTAGAAACAAACCCATGCCAATATAATACTGTATACTGATGACTTCATTGTTGGCTAAGTGAGAAGATTTGGGCCTTAAATAGGAAACTATGGCGACATCTCAAGAGTGCTTTGCATTCTAAAAGCACTTCTGTGACTTCAGTTTATGACAAAGGCATCACCAGAATAACGATATCTGCAAATCAGGCCCCCAAAATGTGAGTGAATGAAATCCCTTTGGCTTCCTCAGTCTGTCTCTGGGATCTGATTCTATGCTGGGGAGCTGTGAGGAGCAGGTCTATGCTGCTGCTGTTTGTATGTTTGTATCACATTTAGTATCATTAAAGAGACAGCCTTGAATACCCAGCCCCAGTTCCACACACACAAAAAATAAGACAAGGGATACAGGGATAATTTCATTCTCCATAATTCACTCTAATTTCCTACTGTTTAAGCTGCCTCTTGGGTGCCATTACGCACCGTGGGGAAGTATGTTCACTATAGCAGGCCGCTAGGGAACTGCTGAGTGCAAAAGCTGTAATTTTCAAAATGCTTCCAGAGAAAGGAGGGAGAGAATGGAGTTTGGAAAGTGTTTCATTGTCTTCAAGGTAGTTTATACAGTAAGGGAATTAAAGCCAACATACTCATCTTGATTCAAGACTTTGCAGAGGAGTGTTTACATAGTCTAAAGCAGGAAGCTTGGAAAATATCTTATATTGTTTCTATATAAGCTGTTGCTATATGTAAAACATATGCTTATTTCTCTGTTTATTCTAATAATCTTTACAAAATATATTAGTAAGATTCTTTCTGGCTCGCTGGGAAATTCTTAAGATTGATATGCTTTACTAGTTTTATTCTCCTATAAAAACATGTAGCCAATTCATGATAAAATTAATTTTTATGTGACGTGTTTCCTCTCATTTTGGGTGGTTTGTCTGTCTAAAGACTTGTAAATTTTATAAATCTCTTCAAAGAAATACTTTTGCTGCATTGAATTCCATTTCTATTTTCATTTTCTGTTGAAATTTTGTTATTGCTTTTCTTCTGAGTTTAGGCATGTGTTACTCCTCTGTCTCTAGATTTCTACGGTAGAGATTTATTGATTATACTTTCTTTCTCTTTTGATGTGTGTATTTAATGCTATCAGTTTCCTTCTAGGAACCCCTTTATAACCCCTCATACATTTTATGAGGTTATAGTCATTTTCATTTATGAAATAAATGTATATTTTGAAGTTGATGTGTTTTGCTTAATTATCAAATATTTTGTGTTTTTCAACTGTCTTCCTGTTATTAAATTTGAATGCAATTTCCTTGTGATCTGAACATGTCTCCTGTGATTTATGCCTTTAACAAATTGCTAAGCTGTGTTTTATGGGACAAAATGGTGAAAGTTTATGTTGGTTTGTTATATCAGTTTGTTATGTTTATGTTAATTTGACAAGAAAATGTGTTCCACTGATGTTTGTATATTCCATAAATATCAACTATATGAATTGACTACCACCCCATGTCTGGGATATATGAACTGAATTATTTGTTTGTTTATCAATTCCTTTTTAGAAAAAGATGTCTTCAGTATTTCGCAGTTTGTAAACAATTTTCTTAGGTGCAGATTTTATAGTATTTATCCTCCTGATGGTGTTCACTATCGTAGGTGTATAGTTTTCTGTCTGTCATTACTTTTGAAAAATTCTCAACTACTACTATTTAAGTATTTCTTATGCTGTGTTTTCCTCTTCTAATTTTTTTTTTTGTTTGTTTGTTTTGTTTTTTTTCCAGTACCTGGAGTTGAACTCACGACCTCACGCTTGCCAGGCAGGCACTGTGCTGCTGAGCTACATCCCCAGCCCATCTTTTTCTAATTATTGAATTCAAGTTACTTTAAATAATCTTTGGAAAGTATGCCTCTTTTCATCCATATGATATAATAGCTCTCCACTCATTATTTTTCTGATTGTGTTTTAGTTTGGAAAATCTCTTTGACTTATTTTCAAGGTCACTGATTATTTCCTTAACTGGATCCACTCTACTGATGACCCTATCATTCTGTATTTCTGTTAAAACATTTCCTTTTTATCTTTGCTTAGTTTCCAATTCTCTGAATGTATTCATTATTAACTTGTGCTTGAATATATTACTTTTTTCCTTAGAGCACTTAATATATAAATAATAGTAAATTTAAATTTCTGTCTGGTAAGTCCAAAATCTGTCATGTTAAAGTCAACTTCCAGTGCTTATTTTATGCCTCCTGAGTGAGCAATTGCCTTGAGTTTAGTATGCTTTGTGATTTTTTTTGGTCTAAAATCTGTATCAACTAAAAGTATAACATAGACTTAGAGGCTGCTTTTGCTCAAAGCACCAACTCCACTTGGGCTTCCAGAAGTTCAGTGGATAACTTAAAGCAGGATAAAAGCTTGGCACATTTGCCTTCATTCTATATTATCTACTTTACAAACTTGAAGCTGAGTCAGATTCCTGCTCAGCTCTCTATGTAGACACGCGTGTCATTTAAGAAGTGTTCTGCTAAAGCTGGTCATTCTCCTATTTAAGATAATGACACGAAGATAAGAGTAACTAAGACAGTTTCAAAATTTGCTGAGACATCATAATCAAAGACTATCCACTGCAAACTTTTATAATGTCATATTCAGACTCCAGGAAGAGTGGCTAATAGCCTCCAGTCACTCCCCTAAACTTTCCAGACACAGTAATGTTTGCAGGCAGATCGTCCCATGAAGTGACTAATTGGGAGAAATTCCTTAAGCTGTCTTCCCTAAGCAGAAGCAATCATCTCAGAATAAGAATTAAACTGATTCCTCAAGATCAGGACCATCAGAGCCAGAGTTGAGCTAATAATCCATTAGATCACAATTTGACCGCTGTTGTTTACGTATGCATATCTTTTGCCTCATATTCCAATTCTTTTCTAAACATAGGACTCATGTCAGTGCCCTAAAAACAGTGTTGAAGAAGCTTATGGTTGTGCCTTCCCAGCACAGATATGCTTAATGTTAGTGTTCTTTTCTGTCACTATTGCTTTTTCCACTTGACATTTGTAAGTGGAAGAGCCTGGTACATCCCCATTAGCCTAAGACTCGGGAATAAAAGTATCTGGGGTAAATATGCCTGCACTTGAAGTTCATGATGACTATTTAGAAGTTTGTGTTATTCTCACTGTGACTGTAGTTGCCATGGTCATCCAGTTCCTCTAACATCCTTATTTTGGTCTATTTCTTGCCCTTGGATTTCTTTAAGAATTTCTTAAAAATAGTCTGTATCTGCATACTACAGCTAGTTGTATCACCTGCACCTGTTGCTGTTCTATTAATAATGCTGGTATGTGGTTAGTTGTGGGGTAAGGAGAAGTTTCTAGGATCTTAAAATTATATCTCAGTATATAGTGAATTTGTGTCCCTGGGGTATGACTTGCACAAGTGTTTTGTTGCTCTGCTTTTTGCTGTTTTAGGTTCCTATTTTCCCATCCTCTATGTGACAGCAAAACTACAAGTGTTTGTTTGCTGTTATATTCTCCTAGGTGGCACAAGGCCACGTGAAACATGAGATAAGTCTGGGTTAAAGTCTTCTCTAGAGAGCAGGCTTTGATATTGAGAATTCTCTGAGGGCATTTCAAAATTGTTGCATTCCTCTGCTCCTGTCTAGGGACCTGAGGGGATTTTCTTGCCTTTTTATCATGACAGTCTTGTGAGATTCCTATAGATAAAGCACATGAAAATGTGGGACCAATCAGAGAGTGAGCTGGCAGAAGTTCCTTTCTTCCATGCTCAGTCTAAAGCATTTTACCAAAATTGCCATTTAGGTGCTTCTGCCAGTTTAAGGTTTCCGAAGCTTCTGGATTATGTTAAAAATATCCACAATGAAACAGAGCTGAGGTGAGCTCAGCTATGATTTTCTCCATATAGCTGTTCTTCCAGGTCTGGGGATGATATTTTTTTAATGTGATTTCCATTCATGATTAATTTAAGTAAGGGATTTTTCCAATTGCTCAAAGGTTTTTGTGCTGTAAAGACAGAGTGAAAACTTGTAATTTCTTTATATGTCGCTCATAAAATCAGAAGGGATAGTTTCTTCTGATATTGAAAAAAATAGAAAATGTATAGCTCTGTGTATCAACTTTCTTTTCAATATCCTTTTTCCTTACAGCATATTTTATGAAGATGAATTACACATTTGTATTTTGATGAATGAGTCCCAGGCCTTCCTTCAAAAAGCAGCATGACTTGGTGGGCCAAAATGGAGGCCGTTTGTTCAAAGGCAGCTTAAAAACAGAGTTGGTATTCTTTGAAAGCTTGCCCTTTGCATGTGGACATGTCCTAAAGTTGAGAAATTTCAGGAAGTGGAGGTAAGGAGCAAAAAAATATTCACCAGATTTTAAAAAGGAATAAACTAACCCTGTGTTGTCAATGACTGTGGTTTTTGACAAAACACTTAGAGGGTATTGTGAATTATTTAATTATGTCCTTCCCTAACATCCACAGCCTTGTCCTTAGAAGCTGTAATATCAGTGTGTTACCCACTCTGGTAGAAAGAGGAAGTATGAGAGAGTGGCTGAATCAACAGATATATTCAGCCATTCAGATTAAAATTAAAATTTAGGTAAAATAAGACACATCTCTGGTTTCTATACAAGAAAACTACCAAGTTCATTTGTTATGTACGAGGCCAATTTATTTATTGGATTGCTAGTAAGTAGGGTCAATGAAATAAAACACTATAGTAGATTTTGTCTATGTCTTGCTTTTTATTTTTTAGGAAGGCAAGTAGATTTTTCTTTTATCCCACATGTAGAGCTATTTTCAACACAGCTAAATTTCTCATTCTTGTCTGGAGGGAAATTAAGCAGAATGTCATCCTGAAGTTTTTACTTGGCGCCAGACCAACTTTAAGATTGCAAGCTTATTGTTACATTCTTCAGTTTCTTGGAGAGACAGCTCAGTATAGGTACGAAGAGGAAAGATAGAACTCTAGGAAAACTATTATATAAGAAAATCATTAAAATTAAAATACTCATCGTGCTTTATGTAGTAATTTTACTTTGAATTTTCACTTTGGTGCTAATATGAAACACAAGTCAATATTTATACACAGATGTTATTTGCATATAAAACAAACAAAGAGAGGCTATTCACAAAGAAAAATGATTTTCATGTAGGTAGATTTGGATATAAAATATTAAAATGATTACATATAATTTGATGCAGGCATTAAAACAATGTGTTGAAAGAAACAATAACAGGAAAATACATCATTGTCACACAAAAATGAAAATGTATTTGTGGTAATCTAAAAGGTTATTTACAAAAGAGAAAAACATGCAATACTTACTAGTATTTACGGACTCAGTGGGGGCCCCTTTGCTTAGCATCTCTGTATTTTCTATCATGAGATACACAGAACTACATAGTAACAAGTACAAAGAACACCTTAATTTTCAAGTCTGGCAGATTCCCACAAAACTTTTTATAAATCCTATATATTTCCTATACTATATTGTATTTTTGAATATACAAATTTTCAAATATACAAATTACATCATTAATTATCTGAAATTCATTTTTATTAAAAGGAGGAAAAACAACAGACTGAAGATCAATCTCAGAAACAATGGCCTGCAGAGCTGTAGAACTTCACAATGTAAGCCAGGAAGAGATGGTCATAAAGCAAAGGGTACTTAGTTACCTGGGCTGGACCGGGCCTGTGGGGAAGCGCTGCCTGCCTGGCTAACCTGTACCCTGAGTGGGGGTCCTTTCCCAAGCTGTCTTGCACGGGGAAGTTTGTGCTATGTATGCCATGGAGTGGTTCCAGTCCGGTAAGGGTATCCACGTGGTGAGTTTCATGACAGTGACACTACAAGGAAAAGTGAGAGACTAATCAGTTTTATGTGCAAAAAAAGTAGTCACACCCCTGAAGGTGAAAATAGAGCCAACCCAAGGGAAAAGACAAATGATTCAGTCTCAAGGCAGAGAGTTCAGTGTTGTCAAGAGCGCAAAGCAGAATTAATTATCTACTCTGGCTTGCCCATAAAGGAGAAGAAAGCATTTGGAGCAGGTAAGGATGAGTTCTCATGAGGAAATCCCTCTCTACCCACTCTGCATCCCAGGTTTTATTTCACACGACTTGGAGAGCATCCCAGTAACTCATGTTCTCTGTGCTTTCTCTTAATCCCAGAGAATTTTTGCACAACTCTGACGGATTTCCCAGTTGCAGAGTTAGCCAAATTCTGTGCCCTCCCTCAAGGAGGATGTTTGTATCTGCCATATAGCCATATATGTTTAATATTGATGGTTAATAATACACAATATTCCACCAGGTTGATGTAGTATGCTTTCTATATTTATTATCCCAATGTTGAACATTTGTGTTGCTTTTCTGTTTTTCATCTTAAAAACAAGTACTGCTGTGAACACCATTACAAATTGTTTTGTTTTCTGCACAACAGTTTCCATTAATCTCCTACAAGTAGAAATTCAGTAATTTCTCTTGATTTGCCTTTTCAAATCACCCTGCAGAATCCCCCAACAACCCGTAAAGACATCAATGAAGTAAGAAGACTCCAACATTACTTTATCCATACTCATTTTGGGCATTTTGCTTTTTGTCTACGTTTTTGCTAATTTTATGCATGTGAAATGATGCCTTGATATTAGTTTTTATTTAATAGTTGATATTTTGTGTCATTTCCCATGTACTGATTGCTTGAGTTGTTTATATTCTCTTCACATATGTCGGTTAGGATCTCATGTGTTTTTCCTATATATTGATATTAATTCTTTGTACTTTCTAGATGTGAACTATTTATCACTTTTTAAAAATTGGTTTCAGTTTTCCTTTAAGCCATTGCCTTGGTAACCTCAGTTTTACTTTTTTTCTGGTGAAGCTTTACTTCATATTGGAAACATTTTTGTTTTATTGCTGAATCTCTACATTTACTTACAGGCTAACTTTGAACCTTAAGCCTTTTCATTTGCCTTTTGTGTTCTTGATGACTCTGTAAGGTTCTATCTGTATTCCTTTATACCTGCTCAATAAATTTGTCTTTAGACAGTTTATTTGTAATTACTAGAAAAATTGTTATTAAGCTTTTTTTTTTTTTTTTTTTGGTTTTTCTCCAGTACCGGGAACCGAACTCACGACCTTGCGCTTGCCAAGCAGGTGCTTTTGCCACTGAGCTAAATCCCCAGCCCCTGTTGTTAAGCTTTCATTAGGAACTAGAAAGATCTCAAATACACTGAGAATGACTCTTAAATGAATAAAATTTTGGCCCTGTGGGCCTTAAATTGTAGAGAGTTCATGAAGAAAACAATAAATAAGATAGTGGTAGATACTGCTAAGAGAACTGCGAACCATAAATCATGCTAAATGGTAAACTTCACATCCTCATTTTATAGATCTTGAAGGACAAAAATTAGTAACACAAAGTGCCTGAAAATGACACTATTATTGTACCTGTTATGAACAAGGCTTCAGGTATATTTTTTCTATTTTTATATAAACTGACTGGGGCTGCATTCCTCTGGCCACACATATTGCTTTGGTATGTACCATATACCATCATTAATTCATGTGAATTATAAACTTGATTCTGAGCTCACTCACTTATCTGTCCCACTAGCCACTTATCTATTACCTATTTTTCAACTGTCCACCAATCTACCATCCATTTACCCATTCATGTATTTATCCATCACGTGTTTGCCAACTGTTTACCATCTATCTATCTATCTATCTATCTATCATTCTATCTATTCATCCATCATTGATCTATCTAATATCCATCTATCTTGCTGACTATCCATTTATCATCTATAAAATGTCCATCTGCCTATCATCCACCTATTTGTCTATTAGTCATCTATTAGATATCCATTTATCCATCTCTCATGAATTTATTAACTATTTACCTATCAATCAACTATAATCTATCTAACTATCTATTCATCTACCAAGTTTTGGATATCATAGTACTTCCTTACATATTTCAGTGTGTAGATTAGAAGAGAACAAGTAATTATCTTGGAAAGTCCACAATATACATGTCTTAAGAAGTCAGCATTAAGAAGTATCATCTATATTTAATTTTTAGATGTTTCCTTGTGTTTTGAATTTTTCAGGCTTATTTTCATATTTTCTATTTATTATTGGTTTCCAGCAATTTGTTTATAATGTGATAATGTATTATTGTCTTTGTACTTATTCTAAATTTTTTTGATCTTTTTCAGTCTGTGGATTAACATTTTTCATAAAATTGGAAATGTTTTAGCGATTATTTATTTAAATACTTTTTAATGACTGAGAAATACACACAAACACACCTTTATATTTCATATCATTGCTTATTGGGACACAGGGTACTAAGTGACACATTGAAAAGTGCCAAAAAGCATAAGGGAAATAATAATGCTGATTTGATATATTTAAGAAAAGAAATAAATTACTGAGGCTGAATGATTATTAAATAAGAAAGAGTATCAAAACCAGTCTTTATCACATAGTTTGTCTACATGTACTAGATATAGAAAATAGCCATGTGAAATCCTTGACTGTTTTCTAAAACATTTATTGCAATCAAATGGCAGCAAGTATACATGGCTAAACTAAGGATATACATCACTTTATTTCCTCCAGATGCAATTTCCTAAACCAGAAATCATTATGTATGTAGAGCAAAGGCATAATACAATTCTTAGAAAAGTCACAGATTATACCCAGTTGAAAACAAGCTGTGACAAAGGACAAAAATTTTATACTTGTTAGGAAAAATGACAGACAATAAATGGCTTTTTATGTAAATTCCCATCAGTGTCACTGTGCTTTGAAAATCTACTGTATAAAATGATGGAATAGTGTTTAACCTTTTTAAAAGTTTGTATTATACTTTTATAACCTTAAAATCCAATCTAATATTAAGCTAATCTATTGAATAATTATCAAGCAATATGTCCCCTGAACAGAGATTCCTAGATACCTCAGCACTCACATTTTCTTTCTTTCTCCATTTTTTTTCCCCTGGGGCCTGGGACTTGAATCCAAAGCCTCTTTTAATTTTTCTTTTTTAAAATTTTATTTTAAAAATAAAAGGAGGAAAACATTAACAGACAAACAACCTTTTACAAAATAGCAAACTATTTTGCCTTTTACAAAATAGCAAACTCAGACAATACAGAGTTACAAACAAAGTGGTAGGAAATTAACAATGCTTGTTGCATTACATATTGATATCTTCAAAGTGGTTTCTTATGAAAACAGAGACATGCAATATTGATCAATCAAGGACTCATTGAGAGTTTCTTTCAGCAAAGAAATAGAAGACAGTAGAACAACTATGTTAACTATCCTGCATATACATACATACAAAATTTCTCCTTCTTTCCCTTCGCTTTTCCCACATCCAGTTGCCCTTTACCCTTGAGTGTTTTCCTAGCATTTCACAATGGTTAGGGTTTAGGGTTAGGGTTTTTATGACTTTGTTTTGATACTTTGCTCACTCTTGGCTGGAATCTGACTCCCTCCTCCTTCAGGATCCCAAAGTACTGGGATTACAGGTGTGCACCACCACAACCGGCCTCATTGTGGTTTTTAAAGAATGCCTCAGAAATGCAATATGGCTGGTGTGTAAATTATTCAGAATGTATGGAAAAGGTAATAGAAAGCTGAAGAATTGTTAACCAAGGCTATGGCACACACAGCTCTGGTAAGCTTGTGTGCACTGTTATTTCTGTGTACTTGACATACACGCTGTCACCCTCATGAAAGTAGGTATCTACAGCAATGCTTTTGAATGCACAGCTACCACCTGAAAGCCATTTAAAGCCTCATGCCTATAATACAGCTGTAAAACTACTGGAAATGTTCATATTTGGGCCTCTCAACTCTATATTGGGAGACAATCTTATTTTCCACCAGTGAGTATAGAAAGCCTGTAAATCAAATGAAAACAAAGTTTGTGCTTCAATTTGAGGAAGAGAATATTTCTAGTACCCTTGTCCCACAGGAGAGAAAAAGGTTGCATGTTAGTATAATTTCTGATATTAAGACTTATTTATTGCCCTATGAAATGTTTGTTCCAATTACACTCTAGTTGATATTTTGCTCAAAGTACTCTTACCTACTTTTTACTTCTGACTTCTCCAATGACTTAAACGCATCCAGAAAGCCATGCTTTACAAATCCTTATGGTACAATAGGAATCAGTGCTTGTTCTTGAGTCACTTCTGCCCCTAATGAGTTGGTATTCTCATTGGAAAGATGAGGATGTTAGATTGTTATTACAGTAATATCATTTCAAACTCTAGGACTTTCTGAACTGTTTCATCAAAATTGTGACCAAAATGGCTCTGTTACTAAAGATATCCTGTTTTATATGATTGATGCTGTTGTATGCAACTTTTTCCCCATAAAATACAAAAGTTTAGAAACTGCAGTATTTTATATCAGATCAAACTTAGTATCTTAAATTGATTCACTTTAAATTAAGTTTAAATTCCTTTTTATGTTTCAAGTCTCTATAACTAATAATATCAAGCCCTTCAGTACTATTCTGATAAGTCATGGGCACTTATTAAAAATTCATTCATATAACTCAAGAGATTTATGAAGTTAGTTTTTGTTGAGCTGCATGCAGAGGTTAAGACAGTTCATTTTGAGCCTGGAGTTTTCTTTTTGGTAATAACCATTGTCACAGGTTTGTGAATGTCCATATGAATCAACAAGATTGTTTCCTTAAGTCTGATTAGCTTTTCTCCTTTGGGATAGAAAGTTCTATGGAATTTATAGCTTCCTACGAACCATGGAATGGATAATTACCCAGACTCTGGCCCTGTTTTCATAAATTTCTGAGCCACTGGCTTTAAGGTTCAAGTAGAAGAACTTCATGCAATCAAACTTTGTCTCTGTCACAGCTTCATAAATATTTGAAAATGGAAAGTCACTACAAAATAAGCCAAATAACATATACTCACAATATCTAACTGAATAATATGATTCTGTAACTTTTTTCTCAATTGAAAGGGAGATTTTTCACCCAAATATGGTAAAAACTATTCAATTCCGAAATTTCATTTGATCAAGATAATTTCTAGCTACTTCCTTCACTGGAAGGTATTTTTTATCTAATGAAGTAGAATAGTAATTGAGAAAGAAATGAGGGGTAATGTAAAAGAGTCTTGCAATTTTATTAAGGAAAATTTTATTATTAAGAAATAGGATATCAAGAAGTAGGTCCTTGAAGACTACATCTCCTCACTTATATGTTCAAGCTAAAACTCTTGACCTCATAGTAGTACAGAACAGAACAGAGGTTAAGGAGAGGATGAGGAGAGGGTGGGAGGCTAGGAAAAATGGATAAGCACCAGGTGGACAGAAAGTATAGAGGGTAGATATGGTTGACAATAATAGTATATTTTAAAATGGCTAGTTGAGTGGATTTTGAATGTTCCTAACATAACCTATAAATGTTGAAATGCAGGATATGCCAATTACTCTGACTTGATCATTGCATATTGTGGCATGTTTTTTAAATGTCATACTGTACCTCATAAGTATGGACAATTATTATATGTCAGTAAAAATTTAAGATATGTAACAAGAAGATGTTTTTGTAGGGGATCAGGAATTGGACTCATAGTCTCTGTAATTTGTGTACTTATTTGAAATGGTAATGAAACTAATAAGCAAAATAAATAGCAGCATAAATTTATAGAGGTTTCTGTATGCATAGAATTATACTTTTTCCTTATCTTATAGATCCTATTCAACACACTTTTGACTGACTATTGATATATTTACTTTCATAATCAAACACTCATTCATGCCATCTGGGTAGCTTTGATTCAATCTCCAAAATTGTACTTGATGTGGGCATTATTGAAAACTTTTACTGCAAAATCTAAAGTACGTATATTTTCATATTATCATTAGACCTCTATTATATGCCTCTTCAATTCTTTTAGTCCACCCTAATAAAAATAAGTCTTAATCACACTCATCACTGGTTTTCATTAGCATAGCTTAGAAAGGATGGGTTTGTTTTTATCTTCTGTGAGTCTCCTTTTTAAACAGGGTACTCTCATGATGAGTGCAAACTTGTTTAATTATGGATTTGATGAGCCATGCTATACTGTTTATATATTCTCATGAATGCACATGTATTAAGGTGGGAAAGAGGAAACGTTGATTTATGAACTAGGAACTAGAGAAGTGAGGAGATCCTTGCAATATAACATCCAAATCACAGCTCAGACTTTGAGCCTACAACTCCATATGTCTGTCATAAAGCAAATGGAGATATAGGAAGGGAAGTAATTTTGCTTTTGCACTATCAGGAGTGACTTGTCTTCTCTGTTGGATGTGTAGAGTGCTGGGAATGTAGGGTATGAAACAAGGCCCAGAACTGCAGCATTCTTTTTTATTGCTGAGCTGTCATTGTGCACTGACCTATGAATGTTTGTGATTTAGGCCTTCATATGCAAAGTCAGGTTTCTCTTTGCTCAGAAAAACCAAGGGCAGCTCAGTCTCTACCTCTTTCTATATGTATAAATATATATAAAATTAAATATATTTTCATAGCTCACATTCACACATTTATCAATTAATACAAATACTTGTCAAACTTCTTATGTTTCCTAGGTCACTTATGACAAGGCAATAAAGAAGATAATTAAAATATTTGTAAAGTATTATGGTGAAATAGATATATACACAAAGAATGATATTTAATTACATCCTGAAAGTTTAATACTGGGTGCCCTGAAAGTTTTAAAACAGTTGTAAGCTTCAATAATTTCAGAAGTGGGCCAGGGATAGAGCTCAGTGGCACAACCTGCCTGGTGAGTGTGAGGTCATGAGTTTGTTTCCTGGTACCAAATAATACTAATACTAATACTAATACTAATAATAATAAATAAAAATTTCAGAAGTATTAATGATGACAAAAAACTTCATTACTTCATTTTAATGAAGATTTGGTTTTGTATATTTGTGAGACACATTTTTAATTTTAATTTTTTTTGTTTGGTCCATTACATTAAAAATACCACACAATGACTAAAAATATAAATAAAATTTCCAAATGCTGTTGATTTTAAGTTTGTTGCTTTCATATTTGGGAAACTAATGAAGATTAAAACTGCAAAAAAAAAAAGCTTTTGAGACTAACTACATTAAAAACATATACTATACAGTTTAGAGATGCAGAGGAGCAGTCTGCATGGACATTTTATGAAGGGAAGAATGGAAATTTTGTAATCATTCGCAAAGAGAACATTGTCAGTACAGGAGAGGACGTGAGCAAGAGCAGAGGAGAAGGGACACTCGAAGTGTGCTGCAGAGCTACTGTCTTTCTTCATCTGCAGGGTTTTCTACCTTTTTGCTCGCTGCTTTCCCCATTGTTCATTGAGGATTTTTCCATTAAGCACAGTTTTTTTTGCATCACAGATGGTACCATCTCACTCCATGCATTCACTTTTCTACATGAAGGACGTACTCAATCAGCGAGACTCTTACTCATTTTTCTTTGATTTTGTTTAATTTGTGCATATTTTGGATATTTCCACCACTAGAAAATTTGCACAACACACAACCTTCATTATTTTCTGACCACCACTTCTTTTTCTCTCTGAGACCTTGCTCAGAAGGCTCAAAGAAGCATGTTTCATTTTTTGCCTTAATACCAGCAACTGAATCCTCCCATTTTTCTGTCCAAAATGCCTGTTATAGAGAGGAACATAATGGAAAAAAAAAGAACCGCCAAAGCAGAAGTGCACTTGACATACTGGATGTAATTTGAGTGCTTTGTGATATGAAAAGACCTTCGCTCACCTGTGTATAGGCATAGAGAAGTTATGACTTTCAGTAAATATGCTTCTTCCCGTTCTTCTTTCAAACAAAACCCCTTTATATTTGGGGGCTGTAAAGATAGAAAATCATTTGTAAGTTCAAAATTATTATAATTGTTAACATAGTAGAAACCTTTTCTTTACTTACCATTGCACACTGTGTTATATTATCTACTGTGATAGTGCTCTGCAGACATTTGGTCCACATGACGCAAAAAAAAACAACAAAATAGGTGTTTGGTAGAGCTGATATAGAGCAGATAAGGGCTCTCAGAATGACACGAGACACACGGTAACGTGCAGTTATTGATAGGGGTGTTAGAAATGCAAAGCAAATGTTCAGTAACAGTTCCAAGGGTAGTCACAGTTTCACATTTCTGTGGCTTAACCCAGGCATGTGGTATTTGAGTTTTATTTTTTTAATTTCATTAACCTGTTTTATGCCTGAGAAACCAAGGACTTTGTGTTATGTGTGAGAAACCAGGTCCTGCTAATTCTATCACTTCATTATTTTCTGTGCCATTATTATGATAAAGTTGGTGTTCTTCATTAAATTTTTCTTACAATAGTAATCTTTCACTTTCAATCTATTTGTGAGTATTCTTATATATAGGTTAAGCTCACATGGTTTGGATTTTCTAACCAAATAAGATTTCCTAAGATTTTCAAACATGTCTACCACATATTTTAGAATGGTTAAAAGGCATAAATGTATTTTAAAAACTAAGTTGATAAATATTTTACTGACATTTCCCATTTTATAATATTTTATATTTCCATTTATAAGAAGACCACGATGCAACCTTCAATCTTTGCAAGCTTTGCTGCTTATGTATAATGTAAGTAGTTCTTAAGATGAGAACACTCCTCATGTATACCACTGCTTTTTATTTGACTTTGTTGTATTTTTGTTCTTAAGCTTTTTGTACAGACTTACCTAACATGTAGCCTGACCATGTGCAACTTTGTTGGTAACCAAAAAAAAAACCACTGAACAATGACTATTCTAAGAGATTAATCTAGAACTTTATAGGGTTCTCTTTGGGACAGTGGAGGTAACCAACAGAGTGAGTAACCAGTAAGTTAAAATCCAAATGCATGACTCACATCTGAGAAAAAGTGATTCACACAATAATGAATTTCCATCGCCTAAAGTAAAAAACAAAGCAACAAATTAAAAAAGCACCTCAGCAGCATCAAAACATGATCAGAGACAGAAACAAAACAGGAAGAAATATGAACTCAGGGTCCAGGCAACCATCTTTTGACTTAGTCAAATTAAAGCCTCAGCAATATTTTCAACTCTTTATAACCCCAGAGGCTGTGATTCTCAACCTCTGAATCCAAGTCCAGAGATTTTATTGTTTATTACAGGGTAGTCCTTTAGGAGTGAGCTCTGAGCCGTTATTTGTTGACATTTAACAAATAACCTTTTAGAACAAAGCCTTTTCCTAGGTGAAAGAAAAATGTTTCATTGATAAGAGGGATACTCTTAGCATATTTCTCCTTATAGGCTTAATTATTTTTCTATTCAAACATGAAAAAGATTTTTAATTAGTCCAAGTGGCTTATAAACTCATGGTCACCATCATACCTTTACATGGTGGTGATTCTTCAGTGTCTCTTAGGTCTCATTTGCACACAGAGGAATTTGGATAAGACAGGATAGATGATAAAGGTCAACATACAATCCCCCACTTGCTAGATGTCAGCTGCTATGGCTCTTATTAGGAGGCATGTCAGCCCAATTACTTTTATTATTGGTCTAATTTGATAAAATGACAAAAGCAAGTTAGACATTTTGTTTCTGTCTACAAATATTTTGAAGTGATTATTTATGTGTACTACTTCTTGTATCCGAAAAGGCAATCAGTTTAATAAAAACTTTGGAAATGTGGCATGAGCAATAAATCCGGAGGACTAGTAGCATATGTTATATCAGATTAACTTTCTTGCCAAACACAATCAAAACTATTAAGCAAGATTCATTTTAAATACCATAAGGCACCGGAGCATAGCAAAGGGCAGTAAAAACCTGAAAGATGTAATGCGTGGAGTTTCTGGGGTTACGGCTTTTTGTCTGAGGATGCCCTGCTCCACGGATTTTCATTTGGGTGTGGGGGAACTCAAAGAACGAGAGGAGAGTGCTCTTGTGATGGTGCGGCAGAAAAGAGAGACACGGACACTGTGGGGAAACCTGGCAGCCTATGCCGTGTCCAGGTGTTGTGTACATTCCAAGAAGTCCTGATAAATTGAAAAAAAAAACGAATAGAGATTTTAACTTCTACTTACTTTGGGGAGAAAGGCTTAACACTTGAATTCTATTCCGTAAGTGCCCTCTGAATTTGCCAAGGTTATCATTTTCAGCTGTTATAATTTATAGGAAATTGTGCCTCTGGAAAATTCCTATCCCTCATTTTTCTTGTTACTGGGGAAAAAAGAAAAAAGGCTGTGGAAAGAATGATATGATTAAATCACATTTGTAAAGATTTCTCAGTGCTTTTTGCATAGGTGAACAGCAGAAATCATTGAATGGTCATAACAATACTTATATTTGGATAAACAATGTATAAGGTGCGCTTAGACAGTTGAGCCTTGTTACCTGAGGCAAATAATTTCACTTAGTGTCTGTGCTTCTAGATAATTTTGGAGCCATTGTGTGTCATAAGTCTTATACCTAAAATTCTGTTTTATCCAGATCAGGAAGGTAAGTTATTTTAGTTATGCAACCACGGGGCCTGAAGCAGAAGGAGTTAAATCCTGACATTTAAGGACCAGGCTGAAAGACACTTCATGTAGCTGTAACGAGATGCTGCATTCTTGGACTGATGTCATAATGCTCCATTTTTGAGCCTTAGCCTTCCCGTTGCTTGCCATTTCTAATGCTGGGTTTTATTTCCCCTGTTTCTCTGACTTAAAGATGCAGTGACCTATCTAACAACATAGATATTTGGCAATCATGAGGAATTATCTCAAGAACTCAGCTTTTCTTCAAATTCCCTTGTCCAAGAGCTGATACAACTTTCAGGGTGATTTTTGTCCTTAGAACCTGCTTTTGCTGGGGTACTCCAGAGCGATCATTGACCTACACTGGAATATTCTTGTACCATTCTGGCTCTCACTCGCAGTTTTGGAAGCTAAATTGCTAACTCTTTTTCTGGTGCCGATATTCACATTGATAGTCAACCATTTCTAAAAGCCTTCTACTTATAATTCTATATCTGGTTTACTTCCTTGGGGTTCCTGTCTTGACCCTGTGGCTGTCCCCATGAAGTCCTCTCCTTTTTCTTTGAGTTTTTGAGATTAAAAGAAAATAGTTTGCCAGAGAACACACAGACATCATGCTCAATACATTCTAGAATAGAGAATTAAAAACAAATAATTTTATTAGAAAGATTCAAGCTAATGGTAAAGTTACTGAAAAAAAAATCTCAAGTTAAAACCTAAGGGGTTGCCACTGAGTGAAGGTTTTATTTCTTAACAGTAAAACTGAATTCTAAAGGGCAGGGAAGCACCATCTTCAAAAGCCTCTCTGGAATTAATATGAATGAAGACTTCCCCCCCAAAACAGCTACATTATATGAGAGCAAGATAAAAGTATGTCCATAATTCTGAGGTCTTAAGAAATTATCCAAGGGGGGAGTAAACATACATAAAGTGTTCACAGTGAAAGAATGATGCAATGAAGCCTGGAAGAATTCCCAGAAATGTAGAAAATCACATATATTTGTGTACTTAGTAGGCAATGTAACTATGATACTGAATGTTATTGATATTTAAAATTATATTAATTCACAGTGCTGTCAATTGTAGAAAAGTATAGTACATACAATTAAGTATTTTACATAATACTTAAGAATGATAATTAACAGTTATGTTGTGGATGTCTTTATTTATTGTACTATAATGTTACCATCTGTGTACTATTACTTTAAATGATTTACTATAGATCTATGTACTGTGCCATTCCGGTAGTAACTGCATATATTTTATATTTACTATATTTCTTCATTGCATCATTTTTGTGTTAGAATAATCTTATTAATTTGTTTTGGCTCTAGAAACAATAAGATTTACTATTTATAGTTTATATGTGATCATATATTGATAGATATATAGATAAATAGGTAGAAATATAGAGATACATAGATACATAGATAGATATTTAGATAGATACATGGATAGATAGCTTGGATGTGTAGTAAGGCAAGTGTATTAGTAGTCTTATGCAAATACATTCTATGATGTTTGCACAAGGATAAAATTGCTTAATGATGTGTTTCTCAGAATATGTCCATCTTGTTCAGTGATGCAAGACTCTGTTATACTTTAAATGTTATGTAAACATAAACATGAAATCTGTGACACTATCACTAGGTACACAAATTGTTAAACATTTATTATCTGGCTCTTTTAAAGAAAATTTGTGATCCCCTGGCTTAAAAACTAGCTGAATTTTGAAAATAACAACAACAGAGATGTTTTGCACTACCAATCATTGGAATTTTATAAATTAGATGAGAAAAAAAATAATGATTTGACATAGAATGTCACATAGTGACACGGACAATGATATTTCCATTGTCATTATATTTATTCAGATGTATATTGATGAAGGAATGCATATGGAAACAGGATGAATAACCCTGAAGCCCTTCAGATGTAAGTTATATTTTCAGAATATTTATATGATAATCCTTCCATGAAGTTGCCTGTGGAAAGAACTTATGAAGTTGCTTTGATGATAGGGATGAGGTCTGCTATTCTTACGATTTTAGGCTGCTAGTACATGAAAAAGCGTTGCAGCCCTGCGGGACCTGATGCTAGATGTACAAACAATTCTATGTAGCAGAGAATACAACAAGATTGAGAAATAAGTGGATCTTGTCATAGTTGAGGATATGCTAGCAAGCCAGACACTCTTTCAGAGCTAGTTACTAGATCTCCTGAACTCTCTGGAGCATTTTCTAAGAATCTATTCAGAATTTTATTTTAGGGAATATAAAAAAGGAGAAGAATACATTCAAAATAACTGTACTCAAAGTTTCTTTCCATAGTGTACAAAAACTCCAAGTTCTGTGGGGCATCTTGCTGAAGGACCAGTGGAACAGCCCAACTGTACGAGTCCAAGTGCATGAGGTCAGAGGCAGGGGCGGCAGGAGATGCTTTGTCCAGTTGGGCTGCTGGAAAAAGTTTGGTGACGTCCAAGAAGTCGTAATTACAGCAGCAACTGATGAAACATAAGACAGCTGGGGATAAGAAGATTCAAACCGAAATGAAAGAAGTAACACAGATAATAAATTCAACAAAAGAAAATGTCAATCGATTGAAATTCTTTTCAAATCATCTTATATTTTAGAAAAATTAGTAAAACTCTTGGGTGTCTAAAGTAGAAGTTATGAAATGACTAAACAACTATTCTGAAAGAAAATGGAGAACTTCAAGTATATTTAACTATTAGTCAGAGAAGCTAGTTTAATGTTTTGCAGTTCTGATGAATTTCGTTTCTTGGAAGTGTTTGGCAAAGACGATATTGAACCCTATTTGATTGAACTGTGTTATATTGAACCATATCTTAAGGGCTTTAAGTCTCTTGAGTTGTTTCACTGTGTCTGGACAAGGAAGTAATGCTCATCTTCCAGAAGCTGGCAAAGAACACAGAGCAATTTTCGCTGCATGTGGATAGTGAACTGTATCTTCCTTCCCTGAGTGCACAGCTTCGCCTTCTTCCATTTGTTTTTTGCAGTGTGTTTGATTCCCGCTTCCGAGCCTCAGCTCTGGTTGCGACCCTCCACTGTATTTGCTGTCTCTCAGTGCAGGAAAGGAAGCAGCTAGTATTTTCCATTCTTACAACCACTGTTAAGCACTAACCTCAGGTTCAGGTTGCATATCTGTCAAGGTTGCTATTTTTCTAGAAAATGGCACGTAGCTCCTTCTGTCTTTTAAATTTTGAAAGCTATCTTTGTGGCTTATTCTTGTGAAAAAATAGTTTAAAAATTAGTTGAAGGTAATATGAAGTCCATTTATCTTGCTGTGAGTGTCTATAAAATATTCCTCATCAAATCAATACTTATTTCAAGTAAGGAAAGTACCTAGCCCTTTTTCTGCAAAAAAAAAATTTCATGACAGATAGATTAAAAAGTTCTGTGAGAGAAATGTGGAAATTGTGTGATTTTGTACACTATTTTAGAAAGCTTAATCTCTGTTCAGCAAAAGGAAAACGTATTTCTGATACTGGGCATGAAACCCAAGTCCTCAAAATACTAGATAAGTATTCTGCAACTGAGTTACATCCATAGATATTTTTTCAGTTTTATTTTGAGATAGGGTCTCATGAAGTTTTCCAGGCTGGCCTCAAACTTGAGATTTTCCTGCCTAAACCTCCCAAGGAGCAAAGAAAACCTCTCATGGCTTATATTATGTTAAACATTACAGCAAATTAAATATATAACTTTATGGAGAACTTGCAATAAGCATCATTGGGTTAAGAAATAGTAAGGAGGGGCTGGGGATTTAGCTCAGCGGCAAAGCGCCTGCCTGGCAAGCGCAAGGTCGTGAGTTCGGTTCCTGGTACCGGAGAAAAAAACCAAAGGGAAAAAAAAAAAAAAAAAAAAGAAATAATAAGGGTTGCTTCACTGTGTCATCCTCTCTTCCATCCAGTAGGGAAGTGCAGTTTTATCTCCGCAGAGGTACATACTCTTAACCACAATTCCTGGTTCTTAATTTGAAGGGTTTAGAAATTTGCCAAGAAAGTGATTATGAACGTGATATTTGGAGGCAAATATGAGGGGCCTGAGAGTGCTGACCAAAGCAGAGCCCTGGTTCCCAACCTGCATGGTCTGTGTCCTCATTTTTATCAGCAGTGATTCTGATATATTCATTTATTAGGAATGCTGTGACCCTGGAAATAAGTTTGCTAGGGCTTCCAGGACTCAGTGGTTTGTAAGAGAAGTTTCTTCTTTCTATTTTAGAGGCTGGAAGTCTAAGATCAAGCTACTTGCAAACATGTTTTTTTGTGTCCCTCTTGATGGCTGTAAATGCTACTTCCTCACATGGCTGTTTTTCTGTGCACCTATTCCTGCTCTCTGCCTCTGCCTCTGCCTCTGCCTCTGCCTCTGCCTCTGCCTCTGCCTCTGCCTCTGCCTCTGTCTCTGCCTCTGCCTCTGTCTCTGTCTCTGTCTCTGTTTCTGTCTCTGTCTCTGTCTTTCGCTCTCTCAGTATCCAATACATTGTAACAGGGGCTGGGGATTTAGCTCAGTGGCATAGCACCTACCTGGCAAGTGCAAGGTCGTGAGTTTGATTCCCGGTACCAGAAAAACAAACAAAAACCACAAAAAACAAAAACCAATATATTGTAACATATTGTACAGTATACACTGTACTGATCATATTATAAAAGATATAGCACACAAAAAGGGCTGCTTTAGAGGGACTGATGAAATATTATATGAGATAGAAGGTCTTTATGGATAAAATCTTTACAGTCTATATGTATTATGCTGTAATTTATAAGCATTGTACATCAAGTAAAAGATTGGAAAAGGAAGGTATGAATTTTTCCAGGGAATTTTTGTTTTTTTCTGCTCAAGTGAAAAAATTAGATTTTAGCTGAAACCAAGAATATGTAAGTTTAGAATCTTTTCCCTTTTCCCTCCTTTTCCTTGCTTTACCTTTGCTTTTATGGCTTTTTCTTTCCATTTTATCCCTCTCTCTTCCTCTTTCCCTTCCTTCCTTCCCTTCCTTTTTTCTCTTTCGTCTTCCTTCTCCTTCCTTTTCTTCTTCTCCTCTGTCCTTCCTTCTTTCATTTCTTTGTTCATTGTAAGTTGTTTTGCAACACAATGAGAATTAAGTGTGTTTCAGTAATAATACTGTGGTGAAGGAGTTGAGGCTAGAAGGGCTGAGTAAGGAAAAGTTGAAGAAAGTCTAAGGAAAGAATGCTACTGAAGTCTGAAGCAGCAGCATAATTTCTGGAGCACTGAGAGAAGATACGATGGCATTAGAGGAGACACGGTGGGAGTAGAGCTTTATCCTTGTGAAGTTGGGTAAGGTAGAGAGATCAGAAGTATGCATGGAGAGCTGATACTGAACGGAGTGAGAGAAATTCATCTATTTTAATGGTAAAGAAAAATCACTGATGAACTTATAACCCATTACCTGTAAGCACATGTGTGATTAAATTTATGATGGTTCCAGTCTGATTATTTCCTTACCTTGTTAAGTAAGAAGAAGAGCTATAGTTAATAAGTGATACGTGATTAAAGAAAACACAGTGATGAACAAGAAAAGAGCTAAAAGGCAGGATAAATTTAGCACTGATGGCTCACAGAAAGATGATGCCCTGATTTTAGTTTTGAATGGATTCCACAAGTTACTTTGTGGGGAAGCGGAAGAGGGAGTTTACATTCTCCTTGATCTTAGTCTGAGGGAGGGAGAGGCAAAATGGACAGAAAGGTATTTTTATGTTATTATGTTGAAGAATGGCATTCACAATGTATTTCACCAAATAACAAAAGGGAAGGACCTTAGATTTCCAATTAAAAAGTTTATGCAGACTTAAGAGAAAGCTATGTAGTATAAAAATGAAAGATAAATTGTGCTGCTATGAACATAGGTGCACATATATCCCTGTGATATGATGTTTTTAGATCTTTGCAATTGCTAAAATGTGGAAGCAACCCAAATGTCCATCCACCGAGGATTGGATAAAAAAATTGTGGTACTTTTATATAATGGAATATTACTCAGCTGTAAAGATAGATAAACTCGAGGCTTTTATAGGTAAATGGTCACAACTAGAGACCATACTCATAAGTGAAATAAATCAAACATACATGTGCAAGCACCACATTGTTTCACTAGTGTAAAACCTGAAAGAGTTACTTTAAACTAGGAGGTATGATAGACATTGTGAAATGATAGGAAAGCACTCAAGGGTAAAGGGCAACTGGGATGTGGGAAAAGAGAAGGGAAAGAAGGAGAAATCTTGTATGTATGTATATACAGGATAGTTAACATGGTTGTTCTACTGTCTTCTATTTCTTTGCTGAAAGAAACTGTCAATGAGTCTTTGGTTGATCAGTATTGCATGTCTCTATCTGTTTTCATGAGAAGCCACTTTGAAGATATCAATATGTAATACAACAAGCATTGTTAATTCCCTACCACTTTGTAACTCCTTATTGTCTGTACTGTTCTTTTGCTATTTTGTAAAAGGTTGTCTGTCTGTTAATGTTTTCCTCCTTTTATTTTTAAAATAAAAAAAAAAACAAAAAAAAGTAAATAAAAATGAAAGATATGCTGAATGGAGATTCCATATAACATGTGGTTAATTCTCTGGTAAACAGCACATTAAATCTTTTTTAAAATACAGATTACCATACCTTTGACTTATAAAGAATAACAGGTTCTCTTTTTCCCTAATTCTTTCAGATAGCTGAACATGAAGGCTTTCTGTCCCCAAAGGAAACGTCTTTAATTTATAAATTAGCTAAGCCAAGTAATTGATTATGTACTAAAGAATGATTTATTGGGGAATTTGAATCTTTAAATGTGGAATAAGAGTGTCATTTAACAAAGCACTTTCAAAATAATATTCAACAAAGGAAAACAGAGATTTTGAGGCAAACTGATGCGTGTTTTGTCTCTTTCTTCCTGTTCAACAAATGTGGGAATGTAGTGTGGATGGTATTCTGTGTTGGTGTAAAAAGGAGTGACAACTGCAGAGAGCCAAGTATGAGTGTAAGATGTTATGAAATTAACCAAATCTGTGGGTTTAGCAATGAGATGACAGTTCAGAAATTTAAAAGACTGTGTGTCTGAATTGCTTTCAAAACTTATATAGCAATGGAAAAAATTATGCTACATGGCATAGGGAGTCAATCTCCTACAATAGTTGATGAAACAATAAAAAGTTCAGAGATTTTGTTTATTCACATAGACAGCTTGTTGTGTATTTCAGGAAAAAGAATCAGATAAAGCAATATCTTTTGAAAAAATTCCCCCTATAGGAAGAAAGATCGTGTCACACTCTTTAATTGGAGTGATATAAACAAGCAACAACAGTTTGACATTTATTCTGATTTTTGGATAAACATTGAAAGAAACAATGCTCATGAGAAAGTAGTAACTGACTGTAAAATATGATACTTCTAGAATCATGCACAATAAAGAGGAAAATGCATCACAGCTGGGGAAAACCACACAGGTTCTTGCTCATCTGAGAACATATGTGTGTCAAAATAAAAGATGAAGCTAATAATGATTTAACTGTAGTATTCGTGACATTGCTGTTGCAGAATTGAAGCCAATAAGATTGATTAGAA